TCTGGGAGAACAGAAGCATCAGGAAAAATAATAGAACCATTTCCACTTCTTTCAGAATCAGGTGGCTCTGAAAAAATTAGAGAAACAGTTGATGGAGGCAAAGGGCTCTTGCAATATCACAACTGCTTTTGTGGCTTTTATACCACAAATGGAGATTGGAGTCCACAACAAATTCATCTGAAAAGTCTAAAGCTTTACAGCATAAAATCACACTCTCCCACTGACACTAAAGGCTTTTATGTCCATGAGTTCCCAAGCTCTGATGAAAGATGTCCCCTGCACTGAGTTTAAAGCAAACATTTGTGTCAACTCAATAGTGAACTTTGGAGAATTCCCTGGGGGTGTGGTGGGAAGGCAATCAATAAATCCACATGATTTTGATAATTATAAAGAGAAGAAGCATCTCCTCTCTTCTGTCCCTAGGTTTCTTCTGTGATTGTATGAACAAGGGAACAGGAAAGGAAAACATGTTTGTGTGAATCCTTTGATGCATTTCCAGACGTGGTTGGAAATCCCAGTGTCCAACTTTCTCCAGTGAAAGGGAAAGTTTTTTTGTTTGAACCCTGACCTGGAATTACAGTTTGCCTTTCCGCTACAATCTCAAGGCAACAGCTCAAAACTTGTAGGACAAACATGTGCTCCAGATAATACAGTAGTCTTTGTGGTCATAGAGATATAACTTTCAGTGGTAACAATATAATATTCCTTAAATTGGAGTTTCTCCTGAGTCGTGCTTCAGCAGGATATAGAGGTCATGGCAGTGAAGCTTTTGTTAACCTTCAATTGCTGCATCAGTTGCAGCCATTTTTGAATAAGTATCCCCTAATGGCGAACCTTTTAGAGACCGAGTGCCCAAACTGCAACTCAAAGCCCACTTATGCATCGTTGGATGCCGGGTGGGTGTGGCCCATTGGGTGGGTGTGGCTGTGGTGGTAACGGCAGACTGGGTGGGACTAAAAAGTTCAATCAATCAATTCCAACTTTGCAAGATGTTTTTTTTCCCACGAGAAGTTGAAATTTACTGATTGATTGAACCTCTTTTTTTTGCACACGGCACTGGAGGCCTAAAGCGAAAAGGTTTTATAAAACCCAGCTGAAGGCCTAGGACTGGGGCAATGGCNCGCAGCAGCGGCGTTACATGGGAGCGACGAGTCCCTCCCAACACCGCCCGCGCGGCCGCATTCTGGACCAGTTGAAGCCTCCGGGTGCTCCTCAAGGGGAGCCCCATGTAGAGAGCATTACAGTAGTCCAGGCGGGAGGTAACGAGGGCATGAGTGACCGTGCGCAGGGCGTCCCGGTCCAGAAAAGGCCACAACTGGTAAATCAGGCGTACCCGATAAAATGCCCCCCTGGTCACGGCCGACAACTGATCTTCCAGCGTCAGCCGCGGATCCAGGAGGACCCCCAGATTGCGCACCCTCTCCGAGGGGGCCAGAATTTCGCCCCCTATAGTCAGTGATGGAGTCAGCTGACTATGCCGCGGCGCCGGCAGCCACAGCCACTCGGTCTTGGAAGGGTTGAGCCTGAGTCTGTTCCTCCCCATCCAGACCCTTACGGCCTCCAGGCAACGGGTCATCACGTCAAGGGCATCGTTGGGGTGGCCTGGGGTGGAGATGTACAGCTGAGTGTCATCAGCGTACTGATGGAAATCCACCTTAAAGCCACGGATGATCTCTCCCAGCGGCTTCACATAAATATTGAACAAAAGGGGAGAGAGGACCGACCCTTGTGGGACCCCACAAGTTAGGGGCCTTGGGGTCGACCTCTGTCCCCCTGCCAATACAGACTGCGTACGGTCGGTGAGGAAGGAGGAGAACCACCGCATAACAGTGCCTCCCACTCCCAACCAACTCAACCGTCGCAGCATGATGCCGTGGTCCACGGTATCAAAAGCCACCGAGAGGTCCAAAAGAACAAGGACAGAGGAATAACCCCTGTCCCGGGCCCTCCAGAGATCATTTACCAACGTGACCAATGCCGTTTCCGTGCTGTATCCCGGCCTGAAGCCCGACTGGAGTGGGTCCAGATAGACTGTTTCCTCCAGGTGTCGAGGGAACTGCTGCGCAACCACACTCACAACAACCTTCGCCACAAAGCGAAGGTTGGAGACCGGGCGATAATTGGCCAATACATCTGGGTCCAGGGAGGGCTTCTTAAGGAGGGGCCTCACCACCGCCTCCTTTAAGGCCGTGGGGAAGGCACCCTCCCCTAAAGAAGCGTTTACAATTCCCTGGAGCCAGGCTCGTGCACCCCCCCGGGCTGCCAGCACCAGCCAGGAGGGGCACGGATCCAGTAAACATGTGGTTGCATTCAGCCTCCCCAAGATCCTGTCCACGTCCTCAGGAGCCACAGAGTCAAACTCCTCCCATACAACAGTCTCAAGACCTGCTCCCGTATCCTCCCCCGGGGCCACCCAGTCAGAGTCCAGGCCTGACTGGGTGCCTCACAACAACAACAACAACAACAACAACAACAACAACAACAACGATGATGATGATGATGATGTTGCTATTGTTAAAACTGCAGCAGATTCCTCAGATAATGATCTGTCTCATGTCAAGAAGAACCCCTTTAGCAGCACAATAACAATGAAGCTTTGCTTGCATCATTGTGTATCAGAAGGGTTCTGGATTCTGGTTCAAAATATAGCTGCCAGGCTTCTGGGAAGGAAAATGCCATTAGCAGCACATCAACAACAAAGCTATTTTGCATATTGTATATCAAAAAGTTTCTGGGTCACATTCAAAGCAAATGCCTACCAGACCCAATCTGGAAAAGGAAGTCAAAATAATCAAGATGTCAGAATCTATCACAATGCTAGCCCTCCTTTTTTTTTGTATGTGAATGCCACACTGTGTCCATCATCTCCCTTCTTCCAACTTCTATTATGGACACCAGTGTCTCCCATCAAATTTCTAGCATATATTTTCCAAATGAAATTGAATCCTAGAACTCCTTTGGGTCTGTTGTCTTATGCCCCCTGCTTCTCCAACCATTGCCTGTTCTAGCTCTTGTGAGGAGCATCTGCAATTGTAACCGTTTGGTCCTCATAATACAAATAATCTGATAAACTTTACTTTTGTTTTATTAATGGAATAGCTGAAATTTTTAAAAAGAAAACAGAAACAATACACACAATTATAAGACAACAAAGAAAAAAGGAACAAGTATATACAGGACATATACTGTATTGAGAGATTCATATACGTGTATAAATATCTACATTAGTCTTTTAAGAATGAAGGCAAATATACGTGTTCCAGGATATTCTGGTTAGAGGGAAGGTCCCTCAGGATGGGCTCCAGCAGAAGTCCAAAAGCTTAGAAGATTAAACCTCTGGTCCCAGTGATCGATCCAGATTGTATCCTGCAATGGTATACACTGCCCTCTATCACTTTACAGCACTTTCTGGCAATTTATAATGGAAACATTATTTTGCACATTGCCCCCACAAACTGGGTCCTCATTTTACTAATCTTGGAAGAAATGTAAAGCTGAGCCAACCTTGAGCTGGTGAGAATCAAAGTGCAGGCTGTGGGCAGAGTTTGCCTTCAATACTGCACTTTAACCAATGCACCATTTGTTTTAATGGATGGCATCTCATTTCCTTATAAACATTCATAATCATATTGATGTGAAAATCTGGAGTGAGGGTGGAGTGAGAGTGTGAGAAAAGAGCAATTGCCCAGATATACACAATGAATCTATAGATTGGTTTTTGTGGTTAGCTGCTCCTTTGTATTCAACTCTGGCCTCAGCAAAATAATGTAGCACTTGGGGAAAAAGATGCAACTCAGCAGTCCAGCACTGGAGGCCAAAATGGAGAAGATCTGCACGGCCACCATGTATTTACCTTTGGTGCTGAGGTAAGTGGGCACAAAGGAGACCCAAACACTACAAAAGACCAGCATGCTGAAGGTGATGAGCTTGGCTTCGTTGAAGGCCCCAGGTAGTCTTCGGGCCAGGAAAGCCACTGTGAAGCAGACAACAGCCAGGAAACCCATATAGCCAAGAGCAGAGTAAAACATGATGACAGGTTCTTCGTTGCACTGCAGGACAATCTCTTCAGGATGGGAGTGCTTGTCTGTGTCAGGAAAAGGAGGAAAGATTGCCAGCCAGATGGAGCAAATCAGAACTTGGACAGCAGAGCAAACAAGAACAAGAGCATTGGTTAAAGTCTTCCCAAGCCACCTCCTCATTCTGTTCCCTGGCTTTGTGGCCAAGAAGGCCAGCACCACTGTGATGGTTTTGGCCAAAAGACAAGATACGGCCACTGAGAAAACTATGATGAAGGCTGTTTGTCGGAGAAGACAGGTAACTTTCCTTGGCTGGCCAATAAAGAGAAAGGTGGTGAGAAATGAAAGGAGGAGTGAGATGAGGAGAATGTAGGAGAGATCCCGATTGTTGGCTTTAACTATTGGAGTTTCATGAGATTTTATGAAAATTACTAATACAAAGGCTGTGATGAATGACAAAAATAGAGCAAAAGAACCCAGGATGATCCCCAAATATTCTTTATATGACAAAAAGGTTATATATTTTGGAAGACAGTGATTTTGGTATTCATTTGGATGCTGATCTTCGAAACATCTGGTGCAGTGGACTGCATCTGCAAAGAAAAGGAATATCTTGTTTATTCATCATTTTTTAAATAATCATTTTATTAAGAATTGCAATTTAAACAATACAAACCAATGCAAACTAAAAAAAGAATAGAAATAATAATAAAAGGTTCAGAAAAAAGAGCAATCTGACAATTGTGACAGAATGAAGCCCTTGTTCATAGACAGGCTTGCCAATAATTGGTCTCTGGACAAAGAGAGGAGATCATCCACAAGTGCTCCAGACAATTGTTCCTCTTAAGGAGATTGCAAGAAACTCACTCCAGAGAGTTTAGAGCTTTGTGGGATGAGGGAAGAGCCATCCTGCTCATCCTACAGTTGGAGACTGAGTTCATATACTTCCTCTTCTAACAACGTTTGAAATTGTTAACAGCTTTTCAACTACTAGGAACTTTTGAATTATTGGGTTTTATAGCACCAGGTGAGTTTTCTTCAGTCCTTATTTAAAGAAGTTTTAAATACAAATTTAGGGATTTATTTTTTGGGGGGAATAAAAAGAAGACTAAAATTTTGTCTTTAAAAAGGTACAAAGAAGATTAAGGGTCCTTAATCCCTTATAATATAAATAAATTTGGGATATGTTTTTGGAATTAATTATAAAGCAACCTTCCTATGGGAAAATGCTTTTGTTTGATCCTTTTTTTAAAAAAATCTATATATTACTAAAATTCTGATTCACATTACCTTTAATTGGGCAAAATGGTGCAGCATAGGACAAAACATTTTCAATCAAGGTACTTTAGATGGGCTAATTTACAGAATGTGTCCAGAATCTGGTACTAATAACTCCCATGGAACTGAAACTTGGCAAATTTTATAAAACATTTTATGACATGAAATTATCATTAAGCAGCTATGGCAAAAGAAATTATCATGAAAAATGTCAGCATATTGTCCCCAACAATCTGGCTCCTCATTTTATCAACTTTGGAAAGATGGAAGGTTGATCAACCTTGAGCCCTGTCAATATTGAACTCCAGGCTGTGGGCAGAATTTGTCTGAAATTCTAAACACTGTGCAACCAGGGCTCACAAAATTATTATTTTTTTAACATTGGATATATTTAATGAGTATTTTTGTATAATGGACCTAGAAGTTAGTTTTAAGAGTATCTTCCTTTATAGATAGATTGTGTTTAATGGATGCTATGGAAAAGGAATAAGTATTACCTTGCATGATTTAGATGGATTTAAAAGTGTTTTGGTGTTTTGACCAGAGCAATGAATTAATTAATAGGGAAAAAAACCTTTTAACAATTGGTCTTATAACAGAATAACAGAGTTAGAATGGACCTTGGTCTTCTAGTCCAACCCTCTCTTCAGGAATCAGGAATGGACAGAGAGCAGTTTGAATTTCTTTAAAAATATATATTCTGGAAACAATGAACTTCATCATTCTCTTACCCTTTAAAATGTTCATGCTTATTTCTGTTCCATCTCTATATTTGTAAGTTAATTCCAATATTAATAGTTATCTCTTCGCTTCCTTCCTAAAGGAGATCCAACTTTAAGAAATTCCTGAAATGTCTTACTAGTCACTGAAATCAGGAAGGCCTACAATTCAATGAGGGACTTGCAAATGTCCCTCAAAAGGTTCTCTAGAAGGACTTCAGAGCATCAATGCAGCTTAACCCGAGACTCAGTAGATCAGCCCCTTTTATCAGAGTAGCAGAGATGATGGAGAAGCTTCTGGTGAGTACATTCTCAGGAATGTGCCACATGCCCTGGAAAAAGCTGTGGTTGCTTTAATGCAGTGCTTTTCAGACTTGGCAACTTCAACTCTCAGAATTTCCTAGCCAGTTGTCAAGCTTGAAAAAGACTGCTTTAATGAGTTTCAGGCAGGGGCTGCATTTATCTTCTAATGTTTCTCTTTGAAACCAGTTGCAGAGTCCTAATAGTGTCAAAATAATTTCTGGGGTCCCAATCTGAGCCAGGGTTGCACAAGAACAAATTAGAATTAAATCAAAACAAGATGGTTGAAGAGAAAAAAAGATTTGTTTAAAAGACAATTAATTTGATTGTAAAATATCCCCCCCCCCCAAAAAAAAATAGTTTTTGCAATAGGAATGCTTAATATTCCTGTTCTAGCTAAGAAGCAAAGGTTGCATGCAGATTGCTGAAACCTGGCATCATAACACAAAACCCATTATCATTATCCCACTTCCTTTATTAATGTTTATATTATGAAGCAAATTGCAAATTTTAAAAATGAAATAAAGACAAAATGCATATTTAAAAATACCACTGAGTACATTCAATGCAAGAAAATTGCTTCCTTCAGGAACCATTCACCTTTCTGAGTGGAGATGGTCCCCTTTGCACAAGGAACACAGTCATAGCAGCAAACTGGCTGTCCTCTCTGGATTACCTTGAGAGAACCAGAATGGCAGCTTTCCACACATCTGGAAGGAGGCAGGGTCTAAGCAAACAATCAATAGCAATAGCATTTAGACTTATATACTGCTTCATAGTGCTTTATAGCCCCCTCTAAGCAGTTTACAGAGTCAGCATATTGCCCCAAATAATTTGTGTCCTCATTTTACTGACCTCGGAAGGATGGAAGGCTGAGTCAACCTTGAGCCAGTGAGAATTGAACTGCTGGCAGTCTTCAGAATTAGCCTGCAATACAGCATTCTAACCACTGTGTCAGCACGGCTCATAGTTAGCACTCTTTTTGAGAGCCGCTAAGGCCATTTGGAGGTTTATCTCCAAGTAGCCTCAACAACTCTCAGAAAGAGTGCCAATGACCAGATGACTACAAGGAACATAAATCCTTCCGCTCCCCACCATTCAGTCAGAACTGAAGAAACTTCTTGGATGAGAAGTGAAATGTCTTCAAGGAAAAACAAAGAAAGTACAGTTACCTCTTGAAAAAGCACCTTTGGGATGTCCATTTATTTATTTAATACATTTATGTAACGGCCCATCTTTCAACCAACTCTGGGTGGCTCTCAATCAAAAATTAGGAGGCACATAAAATCATTGTAAAACTAAAAACTCAACTGATTAAAATACTAAAATTTTAAAAACAAACAAACAAACCTCAAGAACAAAAACTAGGCACCAATCCATTCTAATATGCAATTATCTAGTCTTCTCCCAATGCATGGAGGAAAAGGCAACTTTTCAAAGCCTTACAGAAGGCTAAAAGCATGGATGCCTGGTGAACTTCAAGTGGCAAAGTGTTATAAGGGGCAGGCCTGCCACAGAAAAGACCTGCTTCCTGGTTCTCATCATATGACAATGAGAGCCTCAAAAATTAGTTACAAACTCAAAAATGTCCCTTTCAACAGAAATATTTAGTTAAAAGTGAAAGATTTACATGATCTGAAGAGAAACCAGAGTATCTAGTTATCTAACAGAAAGCAGAGGCAAAGATGGAAATTACACAAAGCTGGGGAAGGGTGTTCAGTAAGTTTAGGAGTGAGATTAAACCCTAAAAATAGCACTAAATCAAAGCAAGTGAAAGTGGTTGATGGCCTCTCAGAGTATTCCTGCTTCCACTTTCTTTCCTTCTGTGCTAGCTATGCTCACATATTTGTGTGAGGGACATGGGATTATGAGAATTCAGCCATGTTGAATGAATTTCCAAAAACATGTGATGTTTTGATCTGCATCATTTCTAGGATAATATGTCTGTTCAAAAGCAGATATTTTGCATTACCACGTACGGGAATACAAGGTTGAGATGGCTGTCTCATATAGCAACCTGTTCCAAGTGAACGTGATGCTGAAAAAGTAACTCTACGACCTGTCCCTTTGTTTACAACCGTCGCAGTCTCATAGTCACGTGGTTGCCTTTTGGCAAGCTTCACAGACAGCTTCAACCTCTGCTTAAGCACCAGAGTTACTGGTCCCAATTGTAGTTGCTTAATGCGGACTAGTTGATCTTCATTGCTCTTCTCTTACAATTGGTATTACTCTAATTGTCACTCCTTTGTGTTATTCTGCTAATTGACTGCTGTTTGTTTATTTGTTTATTTATATTTCATATTTCTTAACTGCCCATCTCGCTCAGAAAGGGGGTCTTTATCAAAATATTTTGGTTTTATATTTTATATTTTTGTTGCTAGTATATTTCTATATGCATAAACACTGTGCAGAGGGCTATTCCTGGTGGGTAGGTTTACAATATTAATGATAAATAAATAAATAAATGCATAAACAAACCAATACTTATAGAAACGTGTTTTACTTTCCCAGTTCAATTGTTGGAAACTGTCTTATTCATGAAACACAATGCATTGTATGGTACCTGAAATGGCCAAATCAATAGCAAAAAGAGATCAGAAGATCTAAAGAACTTCAGAGAGAGTCTTACAGTAATTATATGGTAGGTGAAAGTAAGGGGAGTGACATGGAATGACTTCTTCCCTCCCACCTGGTTGAGCCATTTGAGCCACACCATGGCATCTTCATCAATGTTAAATTGGGGCTCTGAGGAGCCCTGCCTTCCTATGCTTCCAAATTGCACACAGACGATAGAACCATTAGAAAATTTCACCCAATTCACAATGTCCAGATCAGCTGCTAGTTCACCATTCTCATCTAAATACACTCCATCCGTGGAAGTGTTGTAAAACTGAGAATTTTGCAAGAAAGGATGAAGCTGCAACAGCAAAGAAAAGGTTTGTGCTTAGTAAAAACGAATTTCTGTTGAGCAGTCCTACAAACACCAAAATAGCTTTTTATTAATCTTATTTATAGATGATAAGACGTACAGGAAGTCCTCGCATAATGACTACAGTTGGGGCTGGAATCTCGGTTGTTGAGGAAGGTGGTCATTAAGTGAGATGTTATGTGATTGTTACGCTCAACAACCATGGTCCTACCATTCCCAGTTGGAGCTGTTAAGCACTCTCATAGGCCATTAAGCGAACAGAATATCAGGTAATGAGTGAAGGCATCCTGGCATGGAGCTCAAGGAGAAAAGGATTTTCTTGATTTTGACAACTGAAATCCTTCAATAGGGAGCTCTTTTAGCCAGTCACCAGAGACAAAATGGAGTTCTCTTGGCAGCTGGCAGCAGCTTGCTACTTTCCCATTGACTTTCTGGGATATCTGGTAGAGAGGTTTGCAGACGGGAATCACATGATCTTGGGGTGCTTGGCAACAGGTTGTAAGTACAAATAGGTTGCCAAGCACTCAGATCGGTTTGTGACTGTGGGGGTGCAATATTTTGTGACAGTGGGAAGTGCTTTATAGGAGATAAAACACAGGTGTCACACTCGCCACATCACGTGACATGTCGTGACGTATCGTGACTTTTTTCATATTGCCAGAAATGGGGTGGGTGCTACCTCCACATGATACAACCGGCCCGTAGGCCAGCAGTTCGACACCCCTGATGTAAAACATCCTTGCTGAGCTCGTCATTAATTTGAAGCATCATTAAGTGAGGATTAGCTGTATATATATTTGAGGAGTCCTTAGCGCTTCTTGAGCTTGGTTTTTTGCTCATAGATATTTCATTACCCAGTTAGGTAAATATAAAGATGAAGTTTCTTGCAGATATTTCATTACTCATAAACAATACCATTGTCATGTTACCTAGCAGGGTAACGAAATGTCTTCAAGCATATAAGCAAGTACAGAGAGCACTAAAGGACTCCACAGTTCAACCCTGAGCTACGCAGACAGATTCTCTTATATATTTTGAACTAGACTTTCCTAAATTACAAAATCAATGGTTTAAGGACTTACACTATGAAATGCTTTTCCCAGTAAGTTTAAAAAATCCCCCCCCTCTCAGGAGTAGATGGTAGTCCATCACCAAAAATGTATTGGGGCACAATGAACTCATTCTTACAACACCCTCCCCATTTCTGAATTCATTTCTAAAATCATATTCTTCCAGATAGACAGTGTAGTTAACCTTTCGGCCTTTAAGAGGTCACTTCAGATTGTCTAAAACCACAAGGAGAATGAATGCTAATGAAAATAGACATGACCTAAGGCAGAATTTTTATTTAAGGTATTAAATGTATGTCTACTATCTGTCATGGATATTTATATATAATTATCTGGAATACTCTAAATTGCCATAAGCACTATCTGGTAGATTGTATTTAGAGAAGTTAATAAATAAACCTCATCCCCACTAGAACAGACACTTTTTGGGTTTCTGAAGATTCCAGAATTGCTTTTCAGATGCACATGTTCAGTGGGAATCTCTGTGATTTGGAAGGGAATACCTGCCACGGTTGCAGAATTTGCAGTACTGATGTCCCTCCATCACCTTCCACCTTCCTCCTCTTGAATTGAGAAGAATAAGCTACATCTAAGACCTGTGCCAGGCCCCAGAGTGTGTGGTAAACACGAGAGGTGTCTAGAGACACAGTTTTTTCAATCTCGCCTTGGGGAAGGGCCCCCACTGCCTCATTCTCAATGCATCTTGTCCAGCCTTTCACCGATGGGGCAGCCTTGAAGTAAGAGCAGGGAAATGCTATATATGCAAACTGATATAGAGAAATGAAAAGAGGGAGGAAATCATATTTTATCTTTTTCTTTTTCTGAGTAAGAAAGGAAAATAAACCGTGAATGTTTTTATATGATACAACATTATATTTCAAGTCAAATGTGAGGTCCCACAAAGCTGCTGTGACAAGGATCTTCCCTGTGGAGATTGTTGATTCTGCAAAATGTGAATTTATGTACAATGTTGAGCTTTCAATTATATTCACTATTGCCCATATCCCAGCCATAAAGAATCCAGGGTCTGAAAAGTAAATAAATACATTCACTTCTTTCCACTTCTGCACTGAGGCAGAATTGGCATTTACGTTGATCGCCACATTTTGTCTATTCACTCCTGAAAAGGTTTGTGAGAAAATAACACATATCCCGTTCTTGAACAGCATCGGCACCAACGTTCCCATGAAATGCTTGCCATTGTCAGTGTCTGGAGCAAAGAGACCAACTGATGTCCTTTGGAAATGCAGGAGCAATTTGAGAATCCCCAGATATTGGACTCCTTCTTTGGGGACCATGGTGTAGAAAAAGGGGAACTGTGTTTTATCACTCAGAACATGGGAAACAAAAGAATAACTGACCTGATAAAGAGAAGAAGGAATTGGTGATTGGTTTAGTTTCAGGACAGGGTTTGCTAGTGTTTTGCTTCCAAATTCCTGTTATGCTAAATGTTATCTTAGATTGCCTAACGCATTCTGTTCAGCATAGGTTGTCCTATTTATGTCTGTTATTGTTTTCAAGCCACTTGGCACCTAAAAGCCTCTGCAATTATTTAATTCGTTTGAGGGATGTGAACCTTTGAGATTCTACAGCGCTCTCCTTATATCATATTTTGCTGGCTCCTCCATTAATGAGATGTGATCACCAGAATATAAGATTATATATCTCTCATATCACCTTCCTGTATATCTAATGTTTGCTTTGAATTTATAGGCTCTAAGAGCCGTGGTGGTGCTGTGGTTAGAGTGCTGTACTGCAGGTTACTTCTACTGACTGCAGACTGCCAGCAGTTCGGCAGTTCAATTTTCACCGGCTCAAGGTTGACTCAGCCTTCCATCCTTTTGAGGTCAATAAAATGAGGAGCCAGATTGTTGAGGGCAATATGCTGACTCTGTAAACCACTTAGAGAGGGCTGTAAAGCACTGTGAAGCAGTATATAAGTTTAAATGCTAGTGCTATTGCTCTTCATTTTCATTTCTATCATCTCATCTGTGATTTTATTCAGGTTGTACTTGTTAAACAACACACTTACTTTGGAGTGCAAACAAAACACTGGATTTCTGCCCATTAATGCCGACTAGCCAAATTCCAGCTAATTAGACCCCCCCCCCCATTATAAGTCTTTACAGTGAAATTAAAAAAGAGACTTTCTCACCTGAGGGATTTTGTAGTTGCCTGACATGGATGAAATTAAGAAGGAGATGTCTGTTTCTGTCCCTTCAATTATAGCTAAGAGGTTATTCTGTCTTCCTCCACACTTGTAGTTTGGAACATCTGCCTGCCCAGGAGAGAGCAGATCTACCAAACCTTCTGAAGTTGTTCTGGCATCAAAGTAATTGTCATGAATGTTGTAGCCCAGGGTGAGGTTGGGTAAGATCCTGGGATCCTGGTTGATCTCACGGATAGCAAACAAGAAGGACAGGATTTTCCAGCACTGTGAGGTTGCTTTCCTGAAAATACACACACACACACACACACACACACACACGATAAATCATATGGTTTTCCATCACAGGGAAAGCAATGTCTTTAGTATTGGTTTTCTTGATTCTTTTGGTTTATCTAGAAAATAGACACATTTAATTTCTAGTCAGAATCTAAAACTGATCTGTCTTTACCATCAGTTGGTGTGCAAGGGACTTGATTTGAAGTCTATTGTAAAAACCGTCATCTTTACTCAGGCTATCTAAACCTCCCTTTTATACTCCTCAGATTTAACTAGAAGTTCTGTGCCATATTTTTTTCTGTCACTGCCTTTGAGATGTTTATCATCTTTGGTATTTATGTTTTCTATTCCTTCTGTACTAGTAAGACTCCAAACATACAGTGCACTCAGAAAGTATTCAGACCCCTTCACTTTTGTCAATTTTGTTAATGCTGAAGCCTGATTCTACAGTTGTTGAAATTCATTTTTTTCCTCATTAATCTACACTCAGTACCCCATAATGACAAAGTGAAAACAGAATTTTAGAAATGTTTGCACTTTGTTGAAGCACCTTTGGCAGCAATTACAGCCTCAAGTCTTTTGGGGTATGATGCGACAAGCATTGCACATCTAGATTGGGGGATTTTCTGCCATTCTTCCTTGCAAATCCTCTCAAGTTCAGTTAGGTTGGATGGCGACTGTCAGTGGACAGCCATTTTCAGATCCCTTCAGAGATGTTCAATAGAGTTCAAGTCAGGGCTCTGGCTGGGCCACTCTAGGGCATTCACAGAATTGTCCCTAAGCCACTTCTGTGTTGTCTTAGCTGTGTGCTTAGGATTGTTGTCATGTTGGAAAGTGAACCTTCTGCCCAGTCTGAGGTCCTGAGCACTGTGGAACAGGTTTTCATTGACGATATCCCTGTACTTTGCTCCATTCAGCTTTCCCACAACCTTAACCAGTCTCCCAGTACCTGCTGCTGAAAAACAACCCCACGGCATGATGCTGCCATCACACGTCACTGTTAGGATGATGTTGGACAGGTAATGAGTGGTGCCTGGTTTCCTCCAGACATAACATTTAGAATTGAGGCCAAACAGTTCCATCTTGGTTTCAGACCAGAGAATCTTATTCCTCTGAGAGTCCTTCAGGTGATTTTTGTTTTTTTTGCAAACTCCAAGTTGGCTTTCATGTGTTTTGCACTGAGGAAAGGCTTCTGTCTAGCCACTCTGCCATAAAACTCAGATTGGTGAAGGGTTGCAGTGATGGTTGTCCTTCTGGAACTCTGTCCCATCTCCACACAAGATCTCTGGAGCTCAGTCAGAGTGACCATTGGGTTCTTGGTGACATCTCTTACACCCCTGATTGCTCAGTTTGACTGGGAAACCACCTCTTGGAAGAGTCCTGGTTGTGCCAAACCTCTTCCATTTGAGAATTATGGAGGCCACTGTGCTCTTAGAAATATTCAGTGCAGCAGAAAATTTATTGTAGCCTTCCCCAGATCTGTGCCTTGCAATAATCCTGTCTCTGAACTCTGCAGGCAGTTCCTTTGACTTCATGGCTTTTGTTCTGCTACAGTATGCATGGTCAGCTGTGAGGCCTTCTACAGAGAGGTGTGTGCTTTTCCAAATCATGTCTAATCAATTTAATTTACCACTGGTTGACTCCAATCAAGGTATAGAAACATTTTAGCAATGATCAAGAGCTGAGCTAAATTTCAAGTCCTGTTGCAAAGGGTCTGAATACTTATGCCAATGTGATATTTCAGTTTTTTATTTTTAATAAATTTACAGACATTTGTAAAATTCTGTTTTCACTTTGTCATTATGGGAAACAATGTAGATTAATGAGAAAAAATGACTTTCAACAACTGTAGAATCAGACTGCAGCATAACAAAACTGACAAAAGTGAAAGGGGTCTGAATACTTTCTGAATGCAGTGTACATTTGTATATGCTCCCACAATGGTATAGCATCTCTCAGGACAACTAAGCATCTCATAGAATGCAGAATTTCACTATAGAATAGGCTGCTATCACAGGACAAGTTAACAGGTAACAGAATAACAGAGTAGGAAAGGACCTTGTAGGTCTTCTAATCCAACTCCCTGCAGGAGACCCTATACCATTCCAGACAAGTAGCTATCCAGTCTCTTCTTTAAAACCTCCAGTGATGAAGCGCCCACAACCTCTGGAGGCAAGTTGTTCCACTGGTTAATTGTTCTCACTGTTAGGAAATTCTTCCTTAGTTCTAGGTTGAATCTGTCCTTGATTGGTTTCCATCCATTGTTTCTTGTCTTGTCTTTTAATGCTTTGGAAAATATGTTGATCCCTTCTTGTTTGTTTCCAATATTGGAATACTGCTATCAAGTCACCACTAATCCTTCTTTTCACTAGACTAGACATACCCAATTGCTGCAACTATTCCTTATATGTTTTAGCCTTCAGCCCCCTAATAATCTTTGTTCCTCTTTGTTGAGGAACAAAGACCTAGTAGAAGCAATGATCTCAAAGCTAAAAGTTTTTTTTTCTTCTGTGGACAAAATCAAACATACCTAATATTCATTCATACCTGAATGCAGGCATGTCTGCCCTACAGCTATAAAGAGAAAGGGCAGAGATATTAAGAAATTGAGCAGGAAGAGTTTTTAGGAAATTCCTGGAGTTGTTTTTGAGTGGCAGAGTCTGCCTATTCTGTCCATCAAGAAGAAAGAATTTGCAGCAGGAGACCCAGCAAGAGAAAAACAGGATCTGAAAGAGTCATTACTTTCTCCAAATGGCTGGTCTCAGTCTTGCCCTGGAGCAAGAGAAAACTAATGCAAGTACATTTTTTCACATATTTTGTCTTTTCTAGATATCCTGCTCATTCAATGTTCTTCATAGGTTTGAATGGAGATTCAGAGAAAAGGCATGGAGTACATCTAGCAATATTCCAATGACTTTTTTTTTTTCCTTTATGCGTTAAGGAACCTGAAGGCAAAAATGACATAGTGGGCATTGGGTAGTGCCTTAGTTTTGACCCTGCTAAAACCTCTGTCTCCAGTGATCCAGACAAAAGAGATTGATGAAAAAGTACAGGATATCTAAACCTTTTTGAATCAATAGCATGCAGGGGTGGGAGATGCTGTTTTACCAGGAAACTTTGTTAGCTGGAGCCTGTTTGAAAGTGAATGGTAGAAATGAAGTGGTTGTTGCAGAAGCGATTCCAGTAATGAGATAGTCCCCAGGCTTGAAATAAGTCAATGGATCGGACTCATCCCTTTCTAAAGTTAAGGAGCATTTGGCCTTATGTATCCTGCAGGCTGTCCGGGGCAACAGAAGCATCAGAAGATGGAGCAGAACCATTTCCTATGTGTCTTGCAGAGTCAGGTGGCTCTCAAAGAATTAAAGAAGTGGTTTAAGGAGGCAAAGTGCTCTTGCAATATCACAATTGCTTTTGTGGCTTTCCTAGCACAGATAGAATTCAGCTTAAAGGCTCAAGCTTTACAGCACAGTATCACAACTTCTCAGTGATAATAAAGGCTTTTTTGTCCCTGAGCACCCAAACTGTGATGAACGATGTTTCCCCTATTGATCTTGAAAGTGATATTTGTATCAGCTCAACAGTGAACTTTGGAGAATTCCCAAGACGTGTGATTAGAAGGCAGTCAAAAATCAATGTGATTTTGATAATTATATGGAGAAGCATCACCTCTGTTCTATCTCCAAGTTTTTCCTTTGATTTCAATAACAAGGGAATAGGGAAGAAAAATATATTTGTGTAGCAACTTATTTCCTTCTGTTGAAGGAAAAAGTCTTCTTCATCGTGGTTCAGTCCAAGCCAGGGATAAACAACATGGCGACTGCTTTAGAAAGAAGGTTTCTATATATTTTCCTGCCCTTTTAATATTTCCTTCTCTGGGGGGCTGACTTCCCACCCTTCCTTCCTTCCTTCCTTCCTTCCTTCCTTCTTTTTCTTTTTCTTTTTCTTTCTTTTATAACATTTATATAGCTGTCCATCTTATATCAAACTCTGGGGGGGCTCCCAATCAAAATTGTGACACACTAATGCATACTTTTGTTTGTTCACCTCCCACTAGTTCTGTGTTATTGTCTTGAGAAACTAGATTAAGGCCAGCTAAAAAAAGGCAGACTATAAATGGATGGATGGATGGATGGATGGATGGATGGATGATGGGTGGGTGGGTGGCCTGGCTGCTGGCAATGGAGAACCCCCTTTAACACCAATGTGGTGCTATTTGTTGCAGAGGTTGGCTGCCAGTGTGGTTTCTGGGTCCAATTCAGTGGTGGGATTCAGATGGTTCGCACCATGTCACATTTCTATTTTGCTTTTCAGAATAAGCTGTTCCTTTCTAGTCAAATCAGGTTGAAAAAGAATAATGTAGCACTTGGGGAAAAAGATGCAACCCAGCAGCCCAGCACTGGAGGTCAAGATGGAGAAGACCTGCATGGCCACCATGTATTTGCTCTTGGTACTCAGGTAGGTGGGCACAAAGAAGATCCAAACACTACAGAACACCAGCATGTTGAAGGTGATCAGCTTGGCTTCATTGAAGGCCCTAGGCAGTCTCTGGACTCGAAATGCCACCAGGAAGTAAACAGCCACCAGGAAGCCCATGTAGCATAGTCAGGGCTTTTTTTCTCAGAGAAAAGGTGGTGGAACTCACCTCCCTCCCCTGGCCACGCCCCCACCCAAACCTGGCCACGCCCTCATCAAACCCTAGGACCGCCCCTTTAGAGAACAGGAATGCAAGTAAAATTTGCTCGGGCAGGGTCGCCTAGGAAACGGGCCAGGGGCGCGCCGACCGAGCCTCCCTATGGCCGCGGTTGTGAGCCAGGCAGGGGCAGAGAGCTGCGAGTGCGAGCGCGCCCCCCCAGATGTTGCGCCCGGTGCGGCCGGCCCGGAAAAAGGTGCCGGAACGCGGTTCCGCCACGTTCCGGCTGAAAAAAAGCCCTGAGCATAGTACAGTGTAAAACATGGTGACTGATCCTTCATTGCACTGCAGGACAATCTCTACAGCCTGGGAATGCATATTTGAGTCTGGGAATGGGGCAGAGATAGCACAGATGGTAACTTGGACAACAGACCAACCTATCAAAAATAGTGCCATAAAAAACAAAATAGAAATACAAGTTAAGATAGGTAAGAAAATGGTAAGTGAACACCTGTCCAGCCTAGATGAGTTCAAATCACCAGAACCAGATAGATTACATCCCAAGGTTCTCAAGGAACTGGCAGATGTAATCTCAGAACCACGGAACTATATTTTTCAGAGATCTTGGAGCACTGGGGAACTACCAGAGGACTGGAAAAGAGCTGATGTAGTTCCCATCTTCAAAAAAGGGGGGGGGAAAGGACCCAGGAAATTACAGACCTATCAGCCTGACCTCAATACCTGGGAAGATTCTGGAAAAGATAATCAAACAACGAATCAGCGAATACCTACAGACAAACAAAGTCATTACTAAAAATCAACACGGGTTTGTCAAAAACAGATCATGCCAGACAAATCTTATTGCATTCTTTGACCAAGTGACAAAATTAGTGGACCAGAGGAATGCTGTGGATATAATTTACTTGGACTTCAGTAAGGCATTTGACAAAGTAGACCACAACCTACTACTTGAGAAGATAGAAAAATGCGGGTT